GGAATATAATGAGGCTCACAGCTGGTCATATATTTAACCAAGTGGAATTATTCTAACTTTTAGACAATGTTTTCCTTGTAATACATTTAAATAATTATATCCAAATACAGGCTGGGCATGGTGGCTCACGCCTGTAATCTCAGCACTTCGGGAGGGCGAGGAATGTCGATCACCTGAGGTCAGGAGTTCGAGACCAGCCTGGCCAACATAGTGAAACCCTGTTTCTACTAAAATATAAAAATTAGCTGGGCATGGTGGCGGGCACCTGTGGTCTCAGCTATTCAGGAGGCTGAGGCAAGAGAATCACTTGAACCCGGGAGGCAGAGGTTGCAGTGAGTCGAGATCACGCCACTGCACTCCAGCCTGGGCGACAGAGCACAACTTCACCTCAAAAAAACATATATATATATTCAAATATATAATACCCTACATATAACAGGACTTACTGAAGAATAATTTTTGGTATAAAGTCAATTTGTCTTAAATCCTTTCTAAAAAGATTATTAGAAGTTTCATGGTAGAACGATTGGACTGTGGAATTAAAACAGTTTATCAATGGCCTTACCTACTTAATGAATGGCACTATGGTTACTATTTAGTATCATGGATCAGCAAATAATCTATAAACCTGTAAAATTAGCATTGCATTAAATGTCATTTATTAGCACCATCGCCTACCACAGATTACTATGTTTAGAAATGCCTGCTTCTGCCTCTAAAAATCAAACAGATCTTAGAACACACATGACCATACATGTATGTTGTATTTCTTTTACATTCATTTCTCTCTTTAAAAAAAAAAAATGTTTGTTTTATTTTAGATCCTTCTTGGGCAGAAATCATTATTTACTCTATTGGGTAAAAACAGTACAGTTTTAGAAACAGAGTTAATTTTTCAGTTGGTATCCTAACTACGTATTTCTACCAGATTGGGGAAGAACAAAGTGATTTAGGGTGTTAAAATATATCAATGGACGACCAATAAAGATATGCTGAGTATCACTGTGGTCAGCAATACTCATGGCTCTCAGTTAACACTTTAACTAAAACGAGGTGATAATCAATTTTCAAAAAAAAATACATTTTTTATAAAAATAAATCTTGAGAAAGCAAGTCAATTCTGCAGATTTTTTAAAATACTAATAAACAGAAAAAAAAAATCCCAGACAAAATAAGTATTTTAAAAAAAGAAAAACTCTTTTGGCAAAAGGTAAGCATGAAATGGTAACCTCCTTCATTAATCTTTTTTTTTTTTAAATATATGATTTAAGGAAATGAAAAACAAATTACTAAACAAATTTTATGCCACCAAAAGTTTTAACTGTTAGTAAATGAATCATAAATAATTTTACAATTAGACACCTGATGAGAGACAGATGGGGGAGGAAGAGTTATTTAATAGAATGCTAGGGGAAGAAAAACAAAAAACCCAACAGAAAACTCCAACATTTCATTTTATTATGTAGTAGTGCAAAATCTTACTTTAAGACATAAAAGTTAAGACACAGCTGGTTGTGGTGACTAACACCTGTAATCCCAGCACTTTGGAAGGCCGGGCGGGGGGCGGGGCGGGGGGGGGGGCAGATCACTTGAGGTCAGGAGTTCGAGACCAGCCTGACCAACATGGTAAAACCCCGCCTCTAATAAAAACACAAAAAATTAGCCGGGTATAGTGGCAGGCGCCTGTAATCTCAGCTACTAAGGAGGCTGAGGCAGGAGAATTGCTCGAACCTGGGAGGCAGAGGTTGCAGTGAGCTGAGATTGTGCCACTGTTCTCTAGCCTGGGCAGCAGAGTGAGACTCCGTTTCAAAAAAAAAAGTTAAAGCAATTATATATTCAACTTCGTTATACTGCTCATGTAGTGTAGGCCCTAAAAGGCTGGGAAAACATGGCCAAGTTAAAACATTGTATGTTTAATAAAAAATCTTGCAAAAGTTAATCAAGTACTTCACGAGACAAAAAGATTCTCACTGCTATTACTATATTACATTCTCAAAGATGATCAACTTAATCACAGCGCTAATAAGTTATGTATCCAACAGACTATTGTTTAGGAAGGAGATAAGCAGAAACATCTACAAACACAAACTAATAATACAAATGCAATTTCTCAAGAGATGACATACAGCTGGGCACGGTGGCAAGTGCCAGTAGTCTCAGCTAGTTAAGAGGCTGAGGCGGGATGATTGGTTGGGCCCAGGAGTTTGGGCCCAGCCTGGGTAACACAGCAAAATCCCATCTCTAAAAATATACACATGCGTAAATAAATAAAGAAGACATACAAGTGGCCGACATATACATGAAAAAAAAAAGCTCAATATCACTACCATCAAAGAAATGCAAATCAAAACCACAATTAGAATGGTTATTCATCAAAAAGACCAAAAATAATAGAATGCTGGCAAGAAAGTGGAGAAAACAGAACTCTTCTACACCGTTGATGGAGATGTAAATTAGTATAGCCATTATGGAGATTTCTCAAAAACTAGAAGTAGAACTACCATAAGATCCTGCAATCCACTCCTGGGTTTATCCAAAGGAAAGAAAATAGGTCTATTAAAGGGATACCTGCACTCCATGTTCACTGCAGCATTACTCATAACAGCAAAGACAGGGAATCAATCTAAGTGTCCAGCAATGGATAAATGGATGAAGAAAATGTGGTATATAAACATAATGGAATATTATTTGGCTATAAAAAAGAATGAAATCTGTCAATTTGCAGCAACGTGGATCTGGAGATTTAGGTTAAGTGAAATACGCCAGGCGCAGAAAGACAATTATCACATGTTCTCACTTAGATGTGGGAGCAAAAGAAGTTGATTTCATGGTGGTAGAAAGTAGAATGATAGGAAGGGTGTGGGGGGAAAGAGGAGTGGGGAAGTAAGAGAAGTTGGTTAATGTGTACAAACCAACAGTTAGATAGAAGGAATAAGTTCTAATGTTTAATAGCGGGGGAGGGTGACTATGGTTAAAACGTATTTTATATTTCAAAATATCTAGAAGAGATGACTTTAAATATTCCCAAGACACAGAAATGATAAAAACACAAGGTGATGGATATACTAAATACCGACTTGATCATTACATATCCTGTGCATGTAACAAAACCCCCCATAAATATGTACAAAATACTATGAATCAATTAAAAAAATACAAGCACATTTAAAAGAAACATTTAAAAGAAAACACCTGTAATATGAATAAACAGGTAATAAGTAAAAATGGATAGATACATATTAATGAACTGAAGTCACTGCCTACAACTGGCTTGCACAAACTAAAATGTAAGGTAGAAACCATAACTATTAGCGAAACCACATTTAACTTTAAAAATTATAAAAATCTCTACTATGGCTTTCAGATAATAGCGAGAATTTCCGTTCTCCCTTTTGCAAAGTGTGCCTTGTTTTAAAATGCAAAAAACTGAAAATACACACGAAGTTATAGACTAATTCAAAACAATGTATTAATATTTTGACAATCTCTGGCACTTAAAATGAGTCAGACGTCCCAAAACATATATTTTGTAACTTTATGATAATGCAGCATCACCATAAAAGAACCATATGAAATACCCCCAAAATAAAGAAACAAAGCAAAGTTGACGTTAATTCTGGGTCAAGATAATTTTCAGAGTTTCCACACGATGTTTTTGAACAGCAAACGTTATTCAAACTTGTAAATCCATTAATAAATGAAGCTCTGAATCTTTAAAAATCTCCATTCAGTCAGATAAATTCGTTTATTTCTATGCTGTTGCTGTTTTAAACTTTGTATACTGGAAAATTTCTAAGGGAAAAGCTATGGGTTCAATTACCTTACACCCGTCCCCCAAAAACACCACATGCAAAACCTCCTCCTCAGCTTTTCTTTATAAAGAACTAAAAAAGTAGTTCAACTACCTTTTTTTCAGTTATCCTTGCTCTGAACTCTCCACTACACACTTACCTCGGACCAAAACCGGCCCTGGACAAGACTATCTAGGCTACGTCTCTAGGAGACTCACAAGTTGCGTTTCGACGTCAGGCCTGGGAGCAGTAAGGACCCCCCAGTTTTCAGACTTCTCCTAGCATTTCGCACATTTGAACGCTCAGTTCAAGCGTGAAGAAGTGGGGGCCCGAACGCTGGGCCCGAAAGGGCAAAGCCAGGGCCTACACCGCAGCATGGTCACCGAGGCGGCTCGCGCCGTGGGGAGGCATGAGGCACAGAGACCGAACGCCTGGGGCCGGGGCATCCGTGTAAACCGAAGAGGCGCTCAGACTCGGAGCGCAAGGCCCGGGACCCCCTTCGCTGCCTGCTTTGACCTCCCTTCCCCCATGCTGGAGAAGCAGGGCCCGGGCCCGGTGCGGGAACGGGGAGGAGGTAAACCAGTCCTGTCACTGCACTGAGAGAGGCTGGAAACGGCACATGCTCTACGGGGAGAGGCCGCGGCCGGTCCAGACCGGACCCTGAAAACTAGACACATCTTCACCCCCAGAGTTCCATTCCCTGCGCCTCACCAGGTCGTAGTCCTCCTCATCATCGCACATGAAATCATCCTCCATGTCAGACATCTTGGCCGGGAGGGGGAGGAGAAATTGGAGACAACCTCCTCCCACAATCCTCCGCGGCTCAGAGGCGTCAGTCTCAGCTTCTTTCCGCCTTCCCGTCCCTCTTAGAGGAGCTGTTTCCTGCCGGAACCAATTATCTCGACCTCTAGATGATTCGCTACGACTCCAAAAGAGACTGCACCGCCCCCCTTTTCCTCCGAAGCGGTTGGTGCCTTAGCAACTAAACCTAGCAACTGGGACATCGTCAGGTGCTGCGGGTCTCAGCCAAAGGGCGTCAGAAACGGCGCTCGTAGCGAGCAGTTTCCAGCCTCCTGGGTAAGGGAGCAGTCTCCTCCCTTGCTTCGGACTCCGGAAGCGTCTCATTCCGGTGAAAGTAAGAGACAGCTTAGGATCAGAAGCCTTTCGCGGAGAAAAGGCTGACATGCCCGTCCTATATGACAGGTATTATTTCTGCTATCATTGTACGTGTGCATTTAGCCGACACATTGCGGTGGGTGTTCCTAAGATACTTGGAGTACTTTTCAGCAACACAGTTTACACTTAATGCTTGTTATATTTGTAGCTGACAAAACAATTCTATGGATATCCCAAATTAGGTATGCAGCTATCAGTTGAGTTGCCTTAAATCTTACTTAGTTGTTCAACGAATTATAAACTTACCTTTACAACCCTTGGGACCAAATTAAGGTAACAACGACTGGTTTTTTAAAAAAATACGTTACTGTGAAACCGAGGGCACCATGTTATGAGGAGATGGGGGCTGCGGTGACTCGCGGGATAGGAATTTCAAGAGAACCGAGCGAACGGGAAGTCGGCAACAAGAATCTCTCTCCCGCTCCCAGGCACCCCTCTACCTACAGCCTCCTGTCAGAGCGGATTAGAGTCTATCAAGAAATGAAGGGAGAGATTGCTCGTAAACATGACAAGCTGCTGTCATTTCTAAAATATGTGTATGTTGATTCCAAAGATCCTTTGTCTTCCGTGCAGGTGGAAACTACTGAAACACGTCAGGAGCCAAAGGAATTCAGATTGCCGAAAGGCCATCACTTTGATATGATAAATATTAAGAGCATTCCCAAAGGCAAAATTTCCATTGTAGAAACATTGACACTTTTCAGTAATCATAAACTTTATCCAGAAACATGAACTGCTGAGAAAAGAGTGCAAGAATATAATTTAGAACAGAAAGATGTGAATTCCCTTCTTAAATATTTTGTTACTTTTGGAAGTGTCCTGAATCCCTCATTTAAGTTTTCCTTTCCAAGTTAGGTGTTTAGTTCATTCTTCATATGTGATAGTGAAAGTAAAAGCTTTCCTGACTCTTAAGACTGACATTTTCTTGTTAGGGAAAGAGACTCAATCGTAAGGTAGACTAACAATATTTCCCAAATAAAGGCACATAGGAGAAAATAACGAATCAATAGAATCTAATTAAAATTACTACCCCAGGGAATAAGAAGTATTGAGGATTTATTTTATTTTGAATTGGTTTTAAGTATGGAATAATTGCCTTTACAGTTATAAAAAGTAATTAGTGGTGTTTACAAAATGTTGGGAATTTCTGCTTTGATAAATAGGTAAGTCCCATGGCCTTCAGAGAGGGAGGCAATAGTGGAAACTTTCGAAAAAGTAATTTCTCTGGATTTAACATGGAACTAGAAAAATTTAAAGAATAATTAAATAAAAAAACCATGGTAAATGAAATTTGGGGATTTTATACATAGTTTCAGATGTTAATACTAGTTGAGAGAAGAGAGAAAAAATAGCAAGTAGAAGCAGACAACAGGATCATTGGAAGGGACCTGAGAAATTGCTGCTTCATCCATTTTAGCAAACTTATTAGTACAGCATGTACCAGTACTAGGATCTTGAGTAAGAGTGTGTGAGTTTAGCTCTGCCTGATATATTACTACTTGTGGGATCTTTGGGAGACTATATCCTTTTTGAGATTGAATTTCTTCTATAAAATGAGCATAATGCTGCCTTGCTTAAATTTAAGGGTTATCATGAAGATAAATGAAATAGTAAAGGAATACAAAAGACCAAGGAAATATGATTTTTTTTTTTGTAGTGGAGAAACAAACTTCCCCAAACTGGGGAAGGATATATGACCTAAGGTTTCTGTAGTTTATGACCTAACCAGGCCCAGAACTTAGTTTTTCAAATCCTAGTAGTGTGTTTTTTCTGATGTGCCAAAAAGCAGCACACCTCAGAGAAGGGAATAAGTGTGAATTGTGGGTACATTGGGGTTATCAGTTTGCTTCTGAGGGAAGATAGGCATCACTACTTCCCAGAGATGCCCCTGGAAATGATATAGAAGATGCTAAAGAATTCAACGTGATGACAGAATGAGGCATTTGTAGTAATGCTGAGAACAGAAAAATGGACTAAGTGGAAAATTTGTAAGCATGTCTTTGAATATAGATTTATTATGTGAACAAACTACCTAGTTTATTTTTAGTTCAATACAATAATTGTTTTAAGAAAACAAATAACTACTCAATATAAAATGCATTTTAAAACTCCTGTAAATCAGTCAAAACTTTATTCCATTTGTCATAATGGTCACTAGTTGAGTCACTAATACTAGTACACTCTATTTCTGAGCCATCTTTATTCATTTCTACATTGTGTGGTTAGGCAGCTGTTATATGGTGTCACATGATAAAGGATTTCTTCCCATACCATTAAAAAAACACATTACTATTACGCAAAATCATTGGCAGAATTCAAAATAAAGAAAAAATGAAATAAAGGGGAAAAACCGCTTTTCAAATAGGTAGCATTTCCATGTAAACTTCCAGTTCTATCCACATGAATCCACAAATGTTATGTAGTTAAGCATAGATATAGATTTGGATTCTTTTTGCATCTATATAGCAGCATAGGTCAATGTTTGGTTGGTTGTTTATATTTAGAGACAAGATCTTGCTCTGTCACCCAGACTGGAGTGCAGTGGCACCATCATAGCTTATTGCAGCCTTGAACTCCTTGGTTTAAGTGATCTTCCCATCTTAGCCTCCTCAGTGGCTGGGACTTCAGGTACTTGCCACTGTTCCTGACAAATTTAAAATATTTTTTTTTGTAGAGACAGGGGTCTCACTATGTTGTCCAGGCTGGTCTTGCAATCTTCCCACCTCAACCTTCCAAAGTATTGGTATTACAGGTGTGAATCACATTGCCCAGTCTTAAAATATATGCCTAATACTAATTATTTTAGTGGCTGTGTAATAATTCCTCGTTGAATGTACCAGTGCACCATAATTCATGCCATTATTGTTATACATTCAGAGTATTGCAGAAATAACACTATTTTAAGCAATTCTGCAGTGAATATCTTTGAAATTTTATTCTTTAAAAAATAATTCCGGCTGGCGCAGTGGCTCACGCCTGTAATCCCGGCACTTTGGGAGGCCAAGGTGGATGGACCACCTGAGGTCAGGAGTTCGAGACCAGCCTGGTCAACGTGGTAAAACCCTGTCTCTACGAAAAATACAAAAAAAAAATTAGCCAGGCATGGTAGTGGGCACCTGTAATCCCAGCTACTCAGGAGGCTGAGGCAGGAGAATCTCTTGAACCAGGGAGGTGGAGGTTGCAGTGAACCGAGATCGCACCATTGCACTCCAGCCTGGGCAACAGAGCAAGACTCTGTCGCAAAAAAAAAAAAAATAAAAAAAAAAAAATAAAAATAAAACAAACAAAAAAACCGAAAGAAAGAATTCCAAGTTCCAAGAAGAGAAATTACAGGCTTGATTCTTTTTTAGTAATTACTTAAATTGAGATCTTTTTGGTCATAGCTCTTTTAAGTTGTATTTGTGACAATAATGTGTTCTCACCCATAAATACAAATATTTTTCCCTAACAGTCTTTTCTTCTCAATGTTTTATTATGATAAATTTCAAGCATACATAAAATTGAAATAATAGTACAGTGGACATGTATATACCCACTATCAGGTTTGATTGTATGTATGTGTGTGTTCCCTGTATCAGTTGAAAGGAGGATTCAGATATCATGACACATCACCCCTAAATGCAGCTATGTGTATTTCCTAAAAATAAGAACATTCTCCTATATAATCACATCATTGTTACATATAAGATTAATAATATTTGCCAGGCATGGTGGCTTGTGCCTATAATCCCAGCACTTTGGGAGGCTGAGGCAGGTGGATCACCTGAGGTTAGGAGTTTGAGACCAGCCTGGCCAACATGGAGAAATCCCGTCTCTACTAAAAATGCAAAAATTATCCAGGCATGGTGGCGCATGCCTGTAATCCCAGATACTCAGGAGCCTTAGGCAGGAGAATCGCTTGCACCTGGGAGGCGGAAGTTGCAGTGAGCCAAGATCATGCCACTACACTCCAGCCTGGGCGACACAGTGAGTTTGTCTCAAAAAAGAAAAAAAAAAGATTAATAATAATTCCCTATCATTCAATATCCAGTTTATATTCAAAATTACCATATTAAGTGTAGAACTTAGAATTGGAAGAGCCTTTAATGATATCACTTTACAGTCTAAGGCTTCCCAAATCCCACAGTAGAGATTCTGATTCAGTAGTTCTGAGTGAAGCTCAGAAACCTATACTTGTAACTTTACAACAAAACAAAACTCCCTAAACTTGGGGTGACTGTACATCCCTGTTTTCCTGGGACAGATCTGGTTTAGTACTGTTGACCCATCATAATAGTAATAACACCCAGGCCGGGTGTGGTGGCTCACACCTGGAATCCTAGCACTTTGGGAGGCCGAGGTGCGTGGATCACGAGGTCAAGAGATTGAGACCATCCTGGCCAACATGGTGAAACATCTCTACTAAAAATACAAAAATTAGCTGGGCGTGGTGGCGCGCGCCTGTAGTCCCAGGTACCTGAGGCTGAGGCAGGAGAATCGCTTGAACCAGGGAGGCGGAGGTTGCAGTGAGCTGAGATTGTGACACTGCACTCCAGCCTGGTGACAGAGCAAGACTCCATCTCAGAAAAAAAATAGTTAAGAGCACCCATCACTTTCAGAAGTTGGACAATAAATCACATGGTTATTCTACTTGTAATTGTTCAAAAGAGAAAATAGGATCCCGAGGTAGTTAAGAGGTTTATTTGCTCAGAGTAATCAAAGTTTCATAGTTTTACTTTGTACTCAAGATAGCAGTTCCAAAATGGATAATATGCTTAACAAATGAATACTGATCACATACATGTAACTGCATATTGATTTACATGTAAATATATTACATAATTTGCTGCTTTTAAATGTAGTGCCTTATTCCTACAATGGGAAAATAAGTATGCAAATAGGCTGGTAAGTAGGAAGACTGGGTGAATGGCAGCCAAATTTTGAATAGAATTTCCTTGGCCATGACCAAATTTATTAAGTCCAGTCTGGAAATTTAGTAACAGCAGTTGAAAAGGTCTTCATTGTGCTGAACATGCTGCTTGAGTACACAGGTGCTAATAAGTGCTTGTTGGATAAATAAACATGTTAATAGATTGATCTTTCTGTATCACACATCAAAATCTTTTTCTGTCCTTAAAAAATCCATGTAAATGTGACCTCATTCACATAGCCTATCCTGAATACTTTATATGGTTAAGATATTCTATTTTTTTCTTGACATTAATTTTATTCAATGGTGAATAATAGAAAATTGTAATTTCAACAGAGTGCATTTGTGTGACATGGTGCCCTTGCTGAAAGTGGATCCTATGTTTTTAAAGCATATTTTCATAAACTGGAATTATTGAGGTATTATTCAGTAGCTTCATTTACCTCAATAAGGTAAATTAAGCTACACATACTTAAAGTACACAACTTATTTATTTATTTTATTTTATTTTTTGAGATGGAGTCTTGCTCTGTTGCCCAGGCTAGAGTGCAGTGGCACGATCTCGGCTCACTACAACCTCCGCCTCCTGGGTTCAAGCGATTCTTCTGCCTCAGCCTCCCTAGTGGCTGGGATTACAGGTGCCCACCACCACGCCCAGCTAATTTTTGTGTTTTTAGTAGTGACAAGGTTTTGCCACGTTGGCCAGGCTGGTCTTGAATTCCTGACCTCAGGTGATCCACCCACCTTGGCCTCCCAAAGTGCTGGGACTACAGGCATGAGCCACCACTCCCAGCCTTACAGTATGGAATTTAATGAACTTTGACATACATATACACCTGTGAAACTATCATGACACAAGATAATGAACATATTATCACTGCAAAAGTTTCCTCACAGATTCCTTGCAGAAATTTCTCTCCTCCCCCTTAACTTTTCCTAGGTAACTGCTGATCTACTTTTTGTCACTATAGATTAGTTTACATTTTCATGAATTTTGTATAAATGGAATCATGCAATATGTACTCTCATTTTCCTGATTTCTTTCACTTAATATAATTATGTTGAGATTTGAGATTTGTCCAGGTTGTTGCATGTATCAGTTGGTTGTTTCTTTTTATTGCTGAATATTCATTACATGGATATATTACACAATTCATCTTACCCATTTATCTGTTGATAGATATTTTAAGTTTTTTTCAGTTTGTGGCTAGTATAAATGAAGGTGCTAAGAATATTTGTGTACAAGTTTTTGTGTGGACATACGTTTTGTTTCTCTTGGGTAATTTATGGTAGACAGACTCTATGGTGGCTAACCCATTCTATTTCCTTGAATAATTCTTTGCCTTTTGGGTGTGAGTGGGATCTGTGACTTGCTTCTAAACAAGATACAGCAAAGGTGATAAACATGATTATATGTACATGATTACATTATACAAGATTGGTAAGTCAATCATGATAGGAAAGGTGATCTCCTTTGCTGGCTTTAGGGAAGGCAAGTGCCCATGTTGGGAAGGACGACACAACAGGGAACTGATGGTGGCATCTGGCTAGTAGCCAGCCAGAAAAAAAAAAAAAAAAAGAAAGTGGTTTTAGTTTGACAACCCACAAGCAACTGAATGCTGCTAACAGCCATGTGCTCTTGAAAGTGAATCCTTCCCCAGTTGAGCCTCAGATAAGCCTTTGTGAGACTCTAAAACAGAGGACAGAAAATTGTGAGACAATAAATGTGTATTTATTTATACTACTACATTTGTAGTAATATTGTTATGCAGAAATAGATGTGAATACAGGTAAATATCTTGTAGTGAAATGGTTGGGTCATATGGTAGGTATATATTTAACTTTTTAAGAAACGCTCAAACTGTTTTCCTAAGTGGTTTTACCATTTTGCATATCCAACAGCAGTACATAAGAGTTCTGGTTGCTCCATCACGTCCTTGCCAACATTTAGTGTGGTCAATCTTTTTAACTTTAGCTACTCTAGCAGGAATGTAGCAGTATACTATTGTAGTTTTAATTTGCATTTACTTAATGACTAATGTTGAACATTTTTTGTGTGCTTATTTGTCATCCACGTATCTTCTTTGGTGAAATCTTTTTTAAATATATTTTGCCTATTTTTAAAATTGGGTTGTTTATCTTATTACTGTTGAGTTGTAAGAGTTCTTTATGCTTTTTGTGTTGTATTTATCTTTGTCATACTCAAGGGCACTGAGATTTTCACTTATGTTTTTTTCTGGAAGTTTTATATAGTTTTACCTCTTATATTTAGGTCTTATATTTAGGTCTATGATCCATTTCAAATTTAATTTTCGTATATAGTGTGAATGAATGTGGAGGTTCATTATTTTGCATATGGATATCAAATTGTTC